GGTATTTATTATTGGCTTATTTTTGGAAATTGTGAGTGGACTCGGCGAGCTGGAGCTCAAACTCGCCGATTAGGATCGCAGTTTTGGGCAGGGGTTCGCGTCTGGACTCGGCGAGTCCAAGAGTGGACTCAGCGAGTGCACGCTGTGTAATGAAACCCTAATTCCCGGGGTTTGAGACCTATTTAAAGGGCCTTATGGCCGTCATTTGTGCTCACCAATCCATAGAGAGAAACCCTAGAGTGCTTGAGCGTTTTGAGAGAGAAAGGAAGCCATTCTTGACCTTTGTGGTGTTATTTAGAAAGGAGAAGGAGGTCATAACCAAGAGGAAGCATAGGAGATTGCTATACTGTGGATTTGAAGCTCAGATCTTCGAACTTGAGGTATTATTTCAGCTCATCTTCTGTTTTATGAAGTATATTTGGATTTAGGGTTTCTTGTGGCCTTTGTTGTGTTTATTTGATGCCAAATAGTCCCTTTCTAATGTTGAGGCTTTGGATCTGGATCCATAGAGGTCCAGAGAGCCTCACTCATCAAGCTTTATGAAGAACAATGGAGATTATGACCTTAAGTTGTGGTATCTGGGACTAAATCATCATATATGGTCATATAGATATTATATGTACATCAAGATAGTGACTTTACATGCTAAATAAGCTTGGAAGGACTAGATCTATGAGTTAGTGGATCGGATCTGACCTTAGGAGCAAGTTTGAGTCATTGCATGGCATGGACTCGCCGAGTCCGAAGAACAGACTTGGCGAGTAGCATGAATATTGCCCAGCACCACACAACGAGTGGTCTTGCCGAGTTGAGGGTTTGACTCAGTGAGTCAGGGAGAGTTAGAGTGGGTTGACAGGTGGACTGAGTCAAGCTGGGACTCGCCGAGTTGTTCTTGAGACTCGGCGAGTTGAGTCGTGGTGGCCCCACAACTCATGCCAGGTGGAACTCGTCGAGTTAGGAGAATACTCGACGTGTCAAGAGAGGATCCCAGGGAAATCAGTGTATACGCTTAGACTCACCGAGTCGCTATAGTGCACTCGCCGAGTCCGGTCAAAGGTGACCGTTGACCATTGACCGGTGTTGACCTATGTTGACTTGTTAAGGGATAGTCAACCTTAGTTGGGAAAGTGTTAATTAGAGAAGTATTGTGTTATAAGAGGACTATAGCTCAGGAGATGGAGCACTAGTGATTTCAGGGATTTACGAATTACCGAGATACGCGAGGTGAGTCTTCTCACTATACTTTACCTTGAGTAGGTAACCAGAGTTATGTGACAGAGTATTTGTATGCTATGTATGTTATGTGTTGTACTGCATTACTTCTATGTGTTTTATGCTGTGCATGTTTACAGAGTTAGAACCGAAGGTTCACAGAGTTAGAACCTGAGGGTTCACAGAGTTTGGGTGCACGGACCCACAGAGTTATAGCCTCGAGTGGCTAATATGTGTTATATGTGGTATTTTGGGGAACTCACTAAGCTTTGTGCTTACAGTGTTTGATGTTATTTGTTTCAGGTACTAGTGACGACCGCGGGAAGGCGCCGGCTTGATCAGTACACACGCATGGGATTTATGATTTTGAGATCTTGGGATTTTGTATTACTTGGATTGAATGATTAAATATGGTTGTTTGATACTGATTCAGGTGTTGTTGTGGAATCCAGAGATGTGGAATTCTTTGAGGATAAGTTTTCTAAGGATGAAGAAAACTCTAGTCATACAACACCTACAAGTACCTCTCGAGAAATACTCTCACCTCCTCCCATTGTGGAGGAACCAAGGAGAAGTACTAGGGATAGAATTGAGAAAACCTTTTGAGATGATTTCTATTCTTATTTGGTCGAAGGAACACAAAAGAAAGTGACGAGAGAGGTCATCCTTTCAATTAACTTGGATGATGATCCTAAGACCTTCACTGAAGCCATGACGTCTCGGGATGCTCCTCTGTGGAAGGAAGCAATCAATGACGAAATGGATTCAATTATGGGTAATGGAACTTGGGAGTTAGTTGATCTACCCAAGGGGAGAAGACCCATAGGATCCAAATGGATATTCAAGAAGAAATATCATCCTGATGGATCCATATCTGACTATAAAGCAAGGTTGGTTGCAAAGGGCTATAGGCAGCAAGAAGGGATCGATTATTTTGATACCTATGCCACAGTTGCTAGAATTAGTTCAATTAGAACTCTCATAGCAATATCATCTTTGAAAGGATTGTACATTCATCAAATGGATGTGAAGACGGACTTTCTGAATGGTTATCTCAAAGAGGAGATTTACCTGGAGCAACCTAAAGGTTTCGTAATACCTGGACAAGAAAACAAAGTGTGTAGACTTGTTAAGTCTTTGTATGGATTGAAGCAAGCTCCCAAACAGTGGCATGAGAGATTTGATACCACTGTGACAGCATTTGGTTTTCAGCACAACAGTGCTGACAGGTGTATTTATTCTAAATATACACCTACTTATATAGTAGTTATATGTCTTTATGTTGATGATATGTTGATCATTGGCACTCATCTAGAAGGTATTCTTGAGATGAAGAAATACCTATCCTCGAACTTTATGATGAAAGATCTTGGAGAAGTAGATACTATTCTTGGTATCAAGGTGAAGAGGACAGGTGGTCAGATTTCTCTGAGTCAATCTCATTACATAGAGAAAATTTTGACAAAGTTTCAACATTTAAACATTAAGGAATTCAATACTCCTTTTGATTCAAGTGTAAAACTGAATGTGAATTCTGGTCGAGCAGTGGCTCAACTGGAATATGCTAGTGCAGTAGGAAGTATGATGTATGCTACTCACTGTACGCGACCTGACATCGCATTCGTTGTAAGCAAATTGAGTCAGTACACAGTTAATCCAGGGATGGAGCACTGGAAGGCAGTGGGTAGAGTACTAGGATATCTGAAAAGGACAAGTACTTTTGAGTTGACATATTCGTCATCTAATGGAATACTTGAAGGTTATTCTGATGCCAGCTGGATTGATCACACTAGTGATTCAAAATCAACAAGTGGTTGGATTTATACTCTAGCTGGTGGTGCTATTTCTTGGGCGAGCAAGAAACAGACATGCATAGCTCATTCAACGATGGAAGCGGAGCTAATTGCCTTAGCAGCAGTTGGCAAAGAGGCAGAGTGGATTCGAGATCTACTTATGGATATCCGTTTGTGGGATGTTCCGATGCCTTCAATACCCATGTACTGTGACAGTGAGGCCACACTGTCTAAAGTATATAATGCGGTATATAATGGGAAGTCAAGACATGTAGGTCTGCGACACAATTTTGTGAGACAACTAATTGAAAGTGGTACCATCAAGGTTGTCTATGTCAAGACAAGTAAGAACTTGGCAGATCCGTTTACCAAACCTCTGACGAGAGATTTGGTTACATCTACCACGAGAGTCATGGGTCTAAAACCACAATAGAATCGTTTAGTGATGGAAACCCAACTTGACATTAGTGCTCCTAATTTTCAAGTTTAACGGATAACAACGAAATCACTAACGCTAGAAGGTACTATCATTCATGATAGATCCATGTGAGGTAGGATAGTACGTCGTTGCCGAGAATGAGGTTGAGTTACGACTCTTAACATAGTTTTGGAGACATCTAAGCAACGAAGATGTTGTAAAACTTTGCCTATATGATCTAGAGGTGGTGCCGCCTCAAGTGAAGATTAGTGGTTTATCTTCTAGAGGGTCATGAAAAGGATTTATAGCGCATGGCCATAATAGCGCCCAGGGAGAACACAAATATGACTTGTGATGTGTGGGGGTAAACCGGAGAGGTCATTTAGATTCATGGTTTAAACCTATAAGGATACCATTGAATCAGTCTCTTCTTGTTCTCATTAAACTAGGGTTTAATCTTCGTGACACCCAAGTGACATCATCTGTCTGAGTGAAAGGAAACTTACCAACTTGGTGGGGGATTGTTGGAACTTTATATATAAAGGAATTGCAAGTTGGTAATTTCCTTTGTATCCCACATTAGTGGGGGGAAGAAACTTTTGTGGGTTTATAAGCTTATTCCCTTGGTAAGCCTTCAAAGGCTTTAGTGGATCAAAGGAATGGGCCAAGCCCACGCGCGCGCCTAGCCTAGCCTAGCACTAGCCGACGCCGCGAGTGTGCGAAATGGTGCGATTTAGGCGCACGACGCATCGGTCGCTGGGAGCTGAGGAGCTTTTATTTTTGACGAGTTCGGGTCAAGCTGGTTTGACCGATCCAGTCAAATGGTTGACCGTCGTTGACTTCGTGGAGGCCAAGTCAGGGTATTCTAGAAGGATCAGGAAACGGCTTGCTTGGAGAGCAAGCTGTCGCCCTAGGGTTTCTAGGGCCGGCCTATGGGGGTCTGTTTGATGCCTTCTAGGGTTACGATACCTATAAATACAGCTCCCTAGGAGCCGTATGGATACTCTCGAAATCTGAAAGCTTCCTCCCTCTCTCTGCGTTTTTTCCCTAGTTTCCAAGTAGTCGGTTTTTGTGTTTATCGATTTCCAGTGCTGTTGGACTATCGATAAAGCTGCATTAAATCCTGGGGTTTTACTCTGTTGCTTACAGCCAGTACAAGCGAAGTAAAAACCTTTAAGGACAAGAGTCTAATCCGTGCAGTTGTTTCAAGATCAAGATCAGCAATCAACAGGTCGGTTTTACTTTTCGGTCTTGTTTAATTCGTCCAATAACAGGACAGTCTTCTTCTACCTTTCTTATAATCGGATCTAATCGAGAATGATAGATCTGGTTTCTGGACGAAACTCGGTAAATATAATAATAATAATTGGATCTATTATTCGCAACTAATCGACATATAATTCTCAATATTATTTGTCGGTTTCCTTGCGCGTCTATTAGTTTGTTATTTACAACAATAAATATGATAGCTAAGAATAATTTATTAGCTTTTAGTTGTAATTCGTAGAAAAAACGGAAATGAGTTGCATTCACTTTAAGTGGTATTATCCGTAGTAGAAATAAAATGTACAATCTAATTAAACATGCCTCAAGTAAGTCCAACCAACGGCTGCACAAAATAGAATAGAATTGTCAACTCATGTATAAGAAAGTTTCTCTAAAAAATATAGTGAATTAATCCATTTGCGATCAGACACGTGTATGTCCGCAGATGGAAATGCAAAATCACAGATGGACTTAATACATTTGCGATTTTAAGGGCTAATTTTATATATATATATATATATATATATATATATATATATATATATATATATATATATATATATATATATATTTTTGCTGTTTTCCACAAAATAATTATTATATTTGACTAAATGTGCAATTATCTCTTATTATAATCTTCTAGATTATAATCGTCTAGATCTAGGGTGATAGAGAAATCTTGAATTTAGGAAAGGATACGAGAGAAATCTTGAATTACCCAAAAGTGATTTACGTTCGATTACCCTTGGGAATAAGGTTACTTTTGATGCTCAGCTTATTTTATTTAATTCTTTTATAAAAAAAAAATTTAGATTGTCATGAAAATTTCTAAAAAGTTACTCAAATTAGGTTTTAAACAGATTCATAGAACTTTTTAAAACTCTTTTAAATATAACATTTATAAATCTACACATGCACAATTAAATACTCTATTTATTTCATATTTCTATATTTTTAAAAAGGAATGTTGTAGTTAAATTTAGCGTATGTTGTATTAGTTTATCTCAAATAATCCCTAATTGAAACATTGTAAGAAAAATAATGATATGAGAACCAAATCAACCAAAAACACCCATAAATAATACTCGTAAATTTCTTCCAAATGTATGAATAACCCCTTACAAATATTAAGATTTTAAAAAAATGCTGAAGATATTATACATACTTTTGCTAACAATTAAATAATTTTATAAGATATGTTTGATGTCACATGTAACCTTCGTTTGAAGTGTTTAAGAATAGGTCGAAAATATCAAACAAAATACCAAACTTTAGTGAGAAAACTTGAGATGATTATGACTATTTATCCTTCATAATTATATTCTGATATTCAACGAAATTAGTCGATAATATGATTATCTTTGATTGTAAGAATATATTCTTTTAAACAAAAAAGTCTTCAAAGTATATTTCTAAGTACTGTATATAAATAACAACAAGTTATTTAGTCCAATTCATTGTTGTTGCAACTTTGTTTTGCTATTATCCAATGATTCCAATCTAACATAAAGGGAATCATTTCCACACAAAAAACAACTAATTTATTCGTATTTAAAAAAAAAAATACAATTTAACTCACCAATGTTTTTAAAACTTGTAAACCATTCCTTCTGTGTATCCAAGTTCTTTGAGTACTCCACTCACCTCACCTTGTGACCAATCTTTGGCTTTGCCACCAGATACATGTTCCATCATTCCAGGTGGCCCACACACCTAAACACAACGGAATGGAATCAGTCAAAGGAATCGGAATTAGAACTGGAATTGGAATTGGAATCCTTACAAGTATAAGTGTGTCATCACTTGGAGAAGGTAAGCCTTTTGAGGCCATGTCTTTTGATATGTAACCTGTGCCTCCAACCCAATACTTTGATGGATTATCAACAGTATAAAATACCTACAATTTCAATAACATTTTATTTTATATCTCAAAATAATAATAATAAATCGTAAATTATTGTTTTTTGTGTTGTATTAATTTACCTTCAAATTAGGGTGGCTGGAAGCAAGCATGTCAAGTTTCTTTTTTAGCAGAATGTCATCTGGTGATACATTCGCATAAATCAACGAAACCTGAAATTTGTTTTATTTATTTTTTTTATACTTAGAAAAATGAAAAAAATAAAAAAATAAAAATAAAAATAAAAACTTACTTTGGTGTTATCATCAGGATTCTTAAGAATGGCTTCAATAACCTGAAGCATTGGAGTGATTCCTGAGCCACCTGCAATCTGTAAACAAATATGAATTACAAAATTAGAGAAAAATAAAAATAATAAATAAATAAAGAATATTGTTTATTTAGCTTTACTTAACTCACCATGCCAATGTGTTTCTTCATATTGGGAGTGTATCTGATCTTCTCAATGGGTCTGAAAGAGATACATTTTGTTGGTCATAAGTATATATATATATATATATATATATATATATATATATATATATATATATATAATTCAATGAGGGTATAATAGTAATTTAACAGACTAATGGTTGATTACCCACCCTTTTACTTCAACCACATCACCTGGATTTAGTTTTGAAAAATACTGGCTCATTTTCCCTTCAGGATAAATCTGAAGAAAAACAAATTGTAAAACAATTAATAAGTATCAAAATATTTTAGTTTTTCAAGAATCAAAAATGTAGTTTTTACATACCTTAATCATCAAATCAAAGTAACCTTTAGAATCTGGATCAGATATGGGGGTGTATCTGAAAATAAACATTCATGAAAATTGATAACTAAGCATGAATAAAAAGTAAAAAATATCTCTTTAACTTACGGGCGAACAACATATTTTGTTTTTCCTTCAGCATCTTCTCCTAATGGAGCCCTATTAAATAAATAAATAAAAAAAGAATATATGAATGAGGTGGCATATAGCTAAAAATTAAAAATTTGATTCCATAAGGGTAGTCATAAACTTGCCTTGTAATGAGGCATGATGCAACATCGAGTCCCAAATGGAGATTTGGATCAAAAGAAAACCTGAAATTAATGTGGATAAAAATTTTACTCCATAATTTTACTTCCAAGAATATATTGATAAAAGAAAATAAAGAAGTGGGATTATGAAGAATTGAAGATAACCTGTATAGCTGTGTATTGTGGCTGACTTTAGCTTTCTCTTGCAGTTTAAACTCTATCCATTTGTCAGGATGAAGAGCTGAAATACACAAAACCATCATTATTAAATTCAAAGGTGTATTGGAAAGAAACTTATTTGTATTGACCAAAAGCAAACGTTTCTTGATTAATTTCGTGGTTTAAATATCATGATTTGTTTCAGAAAGGAAATATCATGACAAGATGAGAAAAGCTGAAACAAGAAGCTTACCAGTTTTAGGACCTGTTTCTTCATTGATTTGATCTAGATGGGCCTGTTAATGGGGAAAAAAACATATAATTGATCAGTGATCTTTATATTGGATGATCCAAGCAAACAATCAAATAATCATCTCTTAAGTAGCAAACTAGCAAACACAAATCAAACAAAATGCTGAAAATCACAATTTCAGATTTCTAATGATTCAGCTTATCAAATGCACAAATCATATTATCCACACAGCAATATACATACTTATCATTCAGTTTCCTATTGTAATTAAATCGGAAGTATAGGACAGAGGAAGAAAACTACCAAATTGAAGATCTAAGCAAACAATCAAATAATCAGTAGTCAAGAACTAGCAGGCACAAAAACCTAATAAACTAAATCTTAACGTCTCAAATCACATAAAATGTTAAAAACAAAATTTTCAGATACTAACGATTCAGCTTGCCGAATGTACATATCACAGTCTCCACACAACGGCATAGAGAAATATAAAAACGTTTTGTGTTGTATTTAAACTGGAAGTACAAAAAGATGGAGAAAACTACCAAATTTGGCTCAGAAAAGTAGTAGAAATACGAGATTCCACCAGAGATGGCAGCGATTGCTCCAACTGGAAATCGAAAATGCGTTGAATTTGATTGCGATTGCCCCCGAAAAGCATGCGAAAATGCGATCGGCGTTGCTTTGCTTAATCTCCTGAAGAATGTCGACATCTTGAATCGAAGAGAGAAGGACTGAGATTTTGAGGGTTTTGGTTAACGTTCCACTCCGACTTTCAGGGTATTAGGAAGAATGTTAGAATGATCCTCTGAAATGCAGTCCACGGTAAGTTTCGTAGACCCACTCTACCATCCTCCATTGGATGGAATATATCCTAAAACTCTTTAAAAAAAATTAAATAAATAACTAAAATAAAAATAAAAATAAAAAAATTATAAGTTGTGTATGAGAAAAAATAACAATAATGTTTTATGTCATTGAATTAACAAAGGAATAAACAATTACAAATGGTTAATGGTTGATCGGTGGAAACTGAATAATTAAGGTTGTTAAATGGATCCGTTGAATGAGAATTTTTTTTTACTATTTTTTAATACCAATAAAAACAACTTCAAAAAACAAAAGATCATTCTACATTTCTAATAAAAACCCCACACACATTACAAAATACATTAAAATTCAAAATTACAAAGCATATTATCACTTTTGATACACCAAAAGAATTAACAAGTTTGATTATAATTTATTTCCCCAAAATTATTTTGATGATGAACTAGAAAAGGAAAACCACACTTAGAAACCGAAAATAAATAAATGAGCAACAAATATACTAAAGAACTAAATTCAAAGTGAAAATGCTAATTACCCATCAATATATATATATATATATATATATATATATATATATATATATATATATATATATATATATATATATATATATATATATATAAAGAAACTCTAATGATCCATCAACTAACATACCTCTATAGTCTCCATCACTTGGACTTTTACCGACATGAATCCTAATAACCCAACGAGAGATGGATTTTGTATCTAATTTGAAGGATTTTAGAGGGTTGAAGGGTTACAAATGAGAATAAATGATATGTGGTTTATTTTGTATCTAATTGTTTTTGGACGAAATAATGGGTTTATTGTTGGTTTGGACTTTTGTGGCAAAATTAAGACTAAGCTTATAATGGAAGATTTTAGTTTTATGTTAGATGAATTTGGAAGGTCACAATAGGAATAAAGCTTTTGAAGTTGGGTTGCGTTTATCTATTGCTGCTAATGGGCCGAAGTTATTGGACAATGTCTTTTTGATGATGGGTCGTGAATTAAGGAAAGTTTTGAGGGGTTTGATTCACCACATATATCTAGCTCTCTCAAAAAGACCCGTTACCCGAATTACCCGAAACCTGAAAATTGTGCCCGATCAACACCCCTACATATATCAGCAACATACATTTTCTAATTAAGTTGGAATGTTTGGCCGGCTTTATGTGTGACAAAGTTGGTAGGGATTTGATTGTTGTGAAAATCAAAATGCAATGTCTTTATTTTGAGAGTAGCATTCAAGTAGACAAAAAAGATTTGAAAGTTGGTTCTATTTGATTTCATTCCAAATCTTGGACTTGGGTTTGTATCCAACAAGTTGATAGAAGAGGCTTCAAAGTTGGTTACATTTGTTTTCACTCCAAGTCTTGAAGTTGGGGTTGGGATATAAATGGGTTGGGAGTAGACTATTAGGGGTGTTTGGAATAGAGAAATAGAATTGCTTTCACCTTATGATATAACAAAGAATGCACAAGATAAATAGAATCATTTCTATGGTTGTATTAAAAAATGAAATGGAAGAAAGTTTTTATCATGTTTATTTACTTTCAAAGAATAATTTTTTTTTTTTTATAAAAATGTATTATGATGAACACCTAATTTTGGTAATTTATATCTTTTATGTTTATATTTTTTATTTTAACATTACTTGTTACTAAATAGTTTATCTACAATCTTTTTGTTGTAGATGTGATCATACCATCTACATTTAGTCATATACACAAAATCACATTGAAATTTTAATTGGTGTTTTCTAGAGATATAATTCAATTTGGCAGCCTATTACGAGAATTTTGTTTTATCAAAATCTACATCACCCTATTCTAATAAAAAAAATAGGTTTATTTTTTATTTGTCATGTATCACCCTATTAGACATCCTAATTAATGATATATCACTTATCAACCTATTGATTTCTATTTCAAATTTTAAAATATCTCACTTTAATTGCATTAAATTAATAACATTAGAATAAAAAATTAAAATAAAATTAACACAAATTATAAGTTGATATAATTTCATGTGTTTATTTAAATCAACGATTATAATTTAATATAACTAAAAATCTCTTAATTAGGCCCAAAAAACCAAACCAAACTAAAACTCGAACTGAACCGAACCAAATTAGGCCCGAATAAGCAATTCGATTCGGGTTTCGGGTATCTATATTTGCTTGTTCGGTTCTCGGGTTATTCGGTTCGGGTTACCCAAATAAGAGTTTATTCAGTTCTAAATACTCGACTTGAATAAGATTCCTCATCCCCTTTCTCTTATCGTCATAAATCAAAATCACGGTCCACACTTCTGTCATCGTTGTTCATTAAAAAAAAAAAAAAAAAAACTACGCGCGTTCTCATCATTTCAAAATCGACCAATCTTCTCAACTATTTCCAAACTCAAATTCACTTTTGTCGATCCTTCCTATTATTTCAGACTTTCAAAAATCGATCATTCCTATTATCTCTAAAGATTCACGAATTTCTACTTTGTCTAGTAATGGAAAATTATGCTTCAACTCATGAAACTCAAGTAAGAAATTAATTCTCATTTTGTTAATATACTATGTAAATGTTATTCTTTCAATGTGTTATTATGTTATTGTAACATCCCAATATTTTCGACCAAAAATTTCATTTTTAATTTAATAATTATAAAACCATTTGTCTGAAAACATCATAGTACTACTCATATCAAAAACCAATGTATCCATAATCAAAACATGTCATGACAAAATAATATCAGAGTATAAATCCCATAGATCTCATGTGTGGAAATCCTGGTGTGATGTTCTGCAGTCATGTCGGCTCCTTTCCCTTCGAAGAGGAAGTACCTGAAACCAAAATTGAAATCGTAAGCACAAAGCTTAGTGAGTTCCCCCGTTATACTACATATCATACAATAAACATACTACCAGGTACATTTGGGTGCCTCGCCTACCGTGTTGAGCATATGTGGGTGCTTAACCTACCCTTGTTAGACATATCGAGGTGCTCGACCTACCCCTGTCAAGCATATATGGGTGCTCGACCTACCCTGCCAGGCATATCTGGGTGCCCGACCTACCCTCCGGTTTATCTCAACCGATTATGGGGACTATTTCACCCATATCGCTACCACATAATAACACATCATACGATACCGTCAGACATATATGGGTACCCGACATACCCTCCGGTTTATCTCAACCGGCTATGGGGTCTAACCTACCCCTCTTACCACTATCACATAATATTATATCATACTAGCACATAAGCATAACCAATAGTGGCATACTAGACAATTATCACAAAGACAATCATCTCAACTATAATCAACTACTAGTGGGACGACATTGGTGCCTTCGACCCACTTCTACTGGAAGGTAACTCACCTCGATAATTGGGAACAGCTGCAAAGACTCCTGCTCTGAAATCAATCTCTCTCAAAATTCCTACACATAAACATTTCCTTTAATTATCCTTCCATACTCATGACCCCTTAAGGGCCAACTTTGGTCAAATTCAAAATCACAGTCAACATCCTGGTCAAATTCAACCTCTTGGTCAAAGGAAACTTCCTGAGTTGACTCAACTCGCCGAGTCGACCCATCAACTCGTCGAGTTCCATAAATCATAAAACTTAGAAACCGCGATCTAACTCGTCGAGTTCCTTTTGTCCATAGTATCGATACTTTCCCATTCTACTCTTCGAGTCGTCCTTGAACTCATCGAGTTTCCCCTTTACATAATCGGGATATTTCAACCTAACTCGTCGAGTTTCTCCATGGACTCGACGATTTCTTCAGTTTGTTAAGCCATCTTAACAGATTAAGCTTCTATCCTTCAGAACCAAGTTCCATACTTCATCTACATACTGAAAATGTCCTTTTAAGGGTAAAGTTTCCAACTTTACCCGTTAATAGCCTTCCTTAATGGGTTTAGCTCAAACCCTAGTTCTTTAAGACCTGGATCTTGATCCACAAACCATAAGACTTCAAACTAAAGCATAAAAATCGGGATCTAGACCATAGACATCATATGCATGGCCTTTCGGAGCTTAAAATTCAAAAATGTCGTCCTAAAGCTTGCATGGGACTTCCATGGCCATAAAGTTTGCACCTTTATGCCATGAAAGTCCTTTTAGACCCTATATCTGAAAGAGTAATTACTTAGGACATCCCAGTCCCAAAAGCTAGCATTCTTGGACCAAAATATGGAGAAAATGTCCTAAAATTAGATCCAAGCATATCATAGACAAGATAGGAGCTTTATACATCTGATGAACTAGAAATGAAGCTAGACTTCTGGATCTACTCTTCTCCAACACTTCCTTGCTCCTTCTAGTCTTTTCTTCTTCAAATCATCAAGAATGCACCAAAAATGGCTCAAAACTTTCAAAAGTGTATTAGGGTTTCGTGGCTAGGGATGGAGGCTGCAAATGAGGCCAGCCTTTGGAGGTTAAGGTGTTTAAATAGGGTGTTAAACCCTGGAAATTAGGGTTTCATTCTGGCAGCCCTACTCGTCGAGTTGAGTCCCTCAACTCGTCGAGTAGACTTTAAGTTCCGCGTCCAAATTCCATTCCTACTCGAATAGTTTGGGGCCTCAAACTTGTAGAGTTCCAGTACAAAAATGAATAAATTGATTTAAAATACATATCGGGAACCAGACGTTATAGTTATATTAGTCTTTGAATGTTTTATGTTGATGTATAAAAGTACATTGTTATTCTATTATTTTCATTATCTCTCTATTCTAATAAAATAATAGGTTTATTCTCTATTTGTCATGTGTCACCCTATTAGACCTCCTAATTAATGGCATGCTACTTGTTAACCTATTGATTTCCATTTCAAATTTCAAATTATAAATATCCCACTACATTAAATTAATAACATTATAATAAAAATTAAAATAAAATTAATACAAATTATAAGTTGATATAATTTCACATATTTATTTAAATCAACGATTCTAAATTTATATAACTAAAAAAATCTCTTAACTAATAGTTTATTTAAAATAATTTATTTAAAACAATTGATTAATAATTATGAGTTTTTAGTATTAAAAGTTTAATTAATTTTGTAACCGTGGTTCCCATGGGTTATAAACTAGAATGTATATATTGTAACAAATACACAAAATCAAAAGTTGTATTAATAACAGATTGATCTATAAGATTTCTCCACTTAAGCCACGTGTTAAAGATTAGCTTAGTCATTTACTTTGATAATCTTGTCAGGGTATGAAGTCTTGTCCAACATGTAGCACTTAGATCACAATGGAGCACTTAAGGTTCATGGAGCATGTGAAAAAGGAACGGATCATCTGAGAAAGGAATGGATCGTCTGAAAAAAGGAATGGATCAAGTGCCAAAGAAACGGGTCGTACAGAAGGGGTTTTGGAGCACCTGGAAGAGGTTTGGAGCACTTGGGAGTAATATGGAGCAACAAGGGGACCTTGTTGCGCCATCTTCTAAAGACCAATAAGGATGTTGTTGTGCTAAGGTCACTCCTTCTTGCACCAAGATACTCTCACTTGCACCATGAGGTATCCTTTTTACACAACGGGGGTACTCCTATTGTTCCATGGAGTATGTTGTTGCGCCAAGCATGGCCGTATTGTGCCATGCATGTTATTGTAGCGTCAATATGGTGATTTTGCTCCAACCTAGATGCTCTTGTGCCACACTTGATGCCTCTTGTGTGATCGGTATTCCTGTTGTGTCATGATGATGCAAGATGGACCATCTTGGTCCTTGATGAGCCAAGTATGCTATGAAGTCCTTTATGATGCTCAAGATGGAAGAATGTTCCAAAAGATGTTGCATGGCGGAATATG